AAGATTGATAGGAGATGAAGGGAACGAGAATACTGTTAAGCAAGACAAAAAGGAAGCAGAAAAAGACTAAGGGAGGATGTGATAATATGCAGTAGAAGGAAAGAAGAAATGTGGTAGAAAAAGAAAATTAAAACTAAAAATTAAGGAGACAGAACAAGTTGAATTTTAATTATGTAATAGATCTTTTAACATAACTAAATGTTATAATTAAAATGCTTTGTTTACATTACAGACAAATTCGTGGCTGACAGAATTTTTTCAAAAGTACCACAGGCGGTTACATGCAAACAGCTATACCGTGTTTTGGTAAAACCAGCGACAGATTGGGACCTTTGTGGGCTACATTAAAGAAAAAGTACCTATTTCAGAGCTGCATGTACCTGTCAACCTGTCTCTGAACAAATACTACCATTATAGGATTGGAGTCAATGGAAGGAGGAGACAAGAGGCAAACAAAACCAAGAGTGAATGAAACTACAGGTTGAACCTCTATAGCCTGGCAGTCTCAGGACTTGTTGAGTGCCAATCCAGAGAATTTGTCAAGCCACGGGAGGTCAATATTGTAGCGAGTGGGTTTCATTGAAGGCAAATATATGCAACAACGCTTGCAATGCTTCTTAATAATGTATGACTGTACTGGTATACCCCATAAAAGCCTATGCATAGCCAAGACTTATCAGCTTTATAACACCGGAGTGTTAGTGTTCTTACAAAATTTTATTGTATTGGCACAAGGAAGTAAGTAGCTGAAGCATAAAATCCATGCTGATGTTTAGCAGCACTGCCAACACTTCCACTGCTTGTAGGGCTCTTAGAAGACATTTAGGTTAAATCAGAGCTAAATAACAACAGCACAGAACACTGAGAGCCAGGACTGGCAGCTGTAAACAAACTTTATGGGACTGCAGGAAACTTGACCACACACAATAAGCAGATCCGGCTAACTAAAATGCCAGACCATGGATGTTGCTGGACCAGGAAGTACTGAACTAAAGAGGTTCAGCTTGTATTCATTTTCTCCTTAGGTCTGTTTATTTTGTAGCCAAATATCATAATGAATCATGAGATGTAAATTCAGATGAACACTTTAAAAAAACAAAACAAAACACTTTACTTGAATCTGGTACCATTTTATGTCTCCCTTTTCTTCCATCACATGCCTTGTAATGAAACAACAGAAGTTCCTATTGCACCCAATCTACAGCTGATCAAGTCATCTTGATATTGCGGACATGTTTAGAAAGCCTTTACACTTATAAATGTACTAAGCTATTCTAATTTTTGTTCTTCAGCCTCTCTCTTTATTCTCCAACAATGGAATGAGAATCTAGTGCCAATGGAAAGCCAAACTGAACTACACTGGGCTTTTGGCATGCACCAGAACAATATTTTAAGCCTTGCAGGGAGACAAAAGGGAAAGCAAATATGTGTAGCATGTGCCCCCTCCTACCTCTTATATATATATATATATATATATATA